AGATATGACATAATTTCCTGTTAGTAGCGTTAGTAGCGCACCAAACGCATTGACCTTGCTTATAGCGCCTATAGGGGCTTGTACCTACCCTATGAGTTTCGCGTCTCTTGCAGTTACCATCTGGGCTGCAGTAGTGGAATTAGCGGCGGAAGAATAAAAACAATTATAAAAACGAGAACGATTACAATAGGGTTCCCAGCTCCGCTGGTACTGGGACCCCTAATAAATATTTAATGTGGTTTGCACCGTAATGAACCAAGCTGTTTCCCCTTTCTACCAGCAGGTGGCAGGATTTAACTGAAGGCCAAAAGAGATGTCAGCAGCTTACATCAAAATCCTTAGCTGTACTTCTGTTTGATTTGTTCTTCAACTTCACCGACCTGACTGCCTTTAACCTCATGTCAGGTGGTCTACTGTCATTCTCTGTCTTCTGCTGATTTCTTCCTTCCTTCAAAAACACATTCCTCCTTGCAATTACAAATTAATTACAAGCTTATTTGTCTGTTACCCTTGTTGCCTAACTAAATTAATCACTGGATCATGTAGTGTGTGTGTGTTTGTATCTACTAACGTACTACATGCCTACGGTATAAGACCGTATATACTCATGAATTCAGTCTTGTCCAGGCATGTGGCTGCTGCTGTAAACTACAGAGTATAATATTCTATGTACAGAATCATTTAATACTTGTGTCAGAGGTAATTACACAATTTCACATAGTTTTTTGAGCATGTTCTATGTGTTTATTTGTACTGGGGCAAGTAATCACATGTGACAACTTGCCCCAAAGTCATTGAGACAACTTGCCCCAAACTGACGTGTGCTAATGTTGGCTAAATCTCAAGGTTAGCTTAACATAGCACTTTAGCTGACGTATCAAAAGACACGTTATTGTCTCCTCTACTTTGTGCAAAGTTATCATTTTGAACATTCATACCTAATAAGGGTGGAATACATAAAATGTAAAGTGCAAATGTTTTACTTTTGAAGCAAAAAAATAATAAAATTGTGCTAACCTCAGATTAGAGTGACCCTGACCACATGTGAACAGGAAGTTGAACATAGAAAAAGAAGTCACACAAATTAGCTATTTGATTTTTGACATATAACCTCTACTGTTGAGTTATGAGCAGTGTGACAACTTACACACGAGACAGCTTACATTGCTCTCCCCTACCTTGGCAGGTGCAACTATACCTGTCTGGCCCGCGCAAGTAAAGTATATGTTGAAAACACTTAAGTTAGTGCAAGCGGTAGGCCTGTAGGCTATATTGGAAATATTACACCTTATCAGCCCCTTTTCTTGGTATTGAACAATACCTAGAAACAAAACACCAGGAGACTGTTGGTGAAGGCCAACCAAGAGCTGGCATTGATTTACACAGAGCCATGGAGGTGTCATTTGACTCCATTTGTTTGCTATTAGTAGGTAATTACATCATCTTTTTCTGTGTGAGTGTTTTGTCAGCTGTTGGGGGGGGGCTCAGCTTTTCTTAGATAAAAGTAGGCGGGGCGCCAAAGAAAAAAAGGTTGGTAACCACTGTAGTAGACAATGTTAAATCCATTGTTTTTTGTAATTCAGTTTCCTTTTACTGTACACCACCCTATATTTTTGGCTTGAAGGTTTTTGGCAACAAACTATGTAAACGTGTCATCTTTACTTTACAGAATGTAGAGTAGGAAAAAGATGTGGGTGACAGAACTACAGAAGTAAAAGCTTTATTAGCAACATGAAATTGCAGCCAGTGATCAACAATTAATCCAACCTACGTGGCTTTTGGTTCAAAATGTGTAAAAATACCATCAAATACTTTTAAGTTCCTTCTTGGCCACTACGCTCCTCCAACAAACGGCGCCTGACTCTGCCATCCCTATACACAAAGCAATCTCAGTCCCAGCTGTAACGCCACAATGGTGAAACAAGCGGTAGCGGTGCCATCAGAGCAGGGGCGACCCCCTCTAACTTCAAGAAGCTCTTGAAAACCAATCTCTTCCGAGAACACTTAATCTTATAACACCTCTAACCTCTGTATCCACATTTGATAAACTCCAGAAAGTCCCCTTTTTACTGCATTGTGTATGTAATTGAAAGAACTTCAACACCTGTATACAGTGAGGAAAATAAGTATTTGAACACCCTGCTATTTTGCAGGTTCTCCCACTTAGAAATCATGGAGGGGTCTGAAATTGTCATCATAGGTGCATGTCCACTGTGAGAGACATAATCTAAAAAAAAATATATCCAGAAATCACAATGTATGATTTTTTAACTATTTATTTGTATGATACAGCTGCAAATAAGTATTTGAACACCTGAGAAAATCAATGTTAATATTTGGTACAGTAGCCTTTGTTTGCAATTACAGAGGTCAAACGTTTCCTGTAGTTTTTCACCAGGTTTGCACACGCTGCAGGAGGGATTTTGGCCCACTCCTCCACACAGATCTTCTCTAGATCAGTCAGGTTTCTGGGCTGTCGCTGAGAAACACGGAGTTTGAGCTCCCTCCAAAGATTCTCTATTGGGTTTAGGTCTGGAGTCTGGCTAGGCCACGCCAGAACCTTGATATGCTTCTTACAGAGCCACTCCTTGGTTATCCTGGCTGTGTGCTTCGGGTCATTGTCATGTTGGAAGACCCGGCCTCGACCCATCTTCAATGCTCTAACTGAGGGAAGGAGGTTGTTCCCCAAAATCTCGCCAAACATGGCCCCGGTCATCCTCTCCTTAATACAGTGCAGTCGCCCTGTCCCATGTGCAGAAAAACACCCCCAAAGCATGATGCTACCACCCCCATGCTTCACAGTAGGGATGGTGTTCTTGGGATGGTGCTCATCATTCTTCTTCCTCCAAACACGGTTAGTGGAATTATGACCAAAAAGTTCTATTTTGGTCTCATCTGACCACATGACTTTCTCCCATGACTCCTCTGGATCATCCAAATGGTCATTGGCAAACTGAAGACGTGACATGTGCTGGTTTAAGCAGGGGAACCTTCCGTGCCATGCGTGATTTTAAACCATGACGTCTTAGTGTATTACCAACAGTAACCTTGGAAACGGTGGTCCCAGCTCTTTTCAGGTCATTGACCAGCTCCTCCCGTGTAGTTCTGGGCTGATTTCTCACCTTTCTTAGGATCATTGAGACCCCACGAGGTGAGAACTTGCATGGAGCCCCAGTCTGAGGGAGATTGACAGTCATGTTTAGCTTCTTCCATTTTCTAATGATTGCTCCAACAGTGGACCTTTTTTCACCAAGCTGCTTGGCAATTTCCCCGTAGCCCTTTCCAGCCTTGTGGAGGTGTACAATTTTGTCTCTAGTGTCTTTGGACAGCTCTTTGGTCTTGGCCATGTTAGTAGTTGGATTCTTACTGATTGTATGGGGTGGACAGGTGTCTTTACGCAGCTAACGACCTCAAACAGGTGCATCTAATTTAGGATAATAAATGGAGTGGAGGACATTTTGAAGGCAGACTAACAGGTCTTTGAGAGTCAGAATTCTAGCTGATAGACAGGTGTTCAAATACTTATCATACAATAAATAGTTAAAAAAATCTTTTTTTTTTTTTAGATTATGTCTCTCACAGTGGACATGCACCTACGATGACAATTTCAGACCCCTCCATGATTTCTAAGTGGGAGAACTTGCAAAATAGCAGGGTGTTCAAATACTTATTTTCCTCACTATATATTTGAGCTGCTATTGTAGCAGAAGTAGATGCATCATACATTTTTTAAGGTTTTGAAAGGTTTTGGTCTTCATTTCTGACATGTATGCTAGCATTTGTAAATAACACAAAAAATATCCATAGTTTTGGTTTTGGGTAAGCTTGTATGTAAAGAAAAACATAGCATGAAATGGGTTAATTGACTGCATATTCTGTGTAAACAACATGAATTGTTAATTATATGGTGCTGCTTTCAGATCTGTTTCTCCTGTAGATCAACTTTTCTCATGTAATATCATCCATTCTGAGGCAACACCTATGCAGGCATGATTTAGTCTTTCCTCTTTTGTCATGTTCACAGGGAAAACTTGGCAAAAAAGAAACTGTGTCAAGGAGTTGTTATAATTACTGATTGCTGCATGCACGTTTTGTGGTCATTTTAAAATCAATCAATTTAATTAAAAGTTAAAGGTTTTGATAGTTTGTAAACATGTGTAAAATGGAGTGTAAATACACGGAGGTTTGATGTGGAGGGTGAGTTTGAGTGACAAAACAGTTCATGGATGTTGAAAGAATTCAGTCATTCAACGCATTTTGTGTAAAGAAATGAAAGGTGGCCCACAGTTTCTTCCACATCGACTGCTGCTGTGCTGTGTGTGTGAAGAGTTTTGAAAAAGGGAACGTACACCGGCGGATTAACCCAAAATCTCTGCGATTAGTCATAAATTCACATGAAAGCACCTCTGATATTCTCTGAGATTAAGCCCAGCTGGGTAACCAGCTAGCTCTAAGGCCAAAGTGAATTGTTAATTGTTAAATTTATGAGAAGAAAACCCTCAGATATTCTGTGATAATACAGTCATACATTTGTGAGAAACCTCTGTTGTTCCTCCTGATGATTTTGAATGATTACTGTGAATGCTCTAATTAATAAATGTAATTAAATAATGCTTTGTTTGTGATAAGAGATTAATTTAGTTTAGCACCCTGGCTAGTCCCATGTTCTCTCCCCCTGAGCGCCAGAGCAGCAGTCTGTCTGTGTTCAACATCCTGATTTAAAAATGAAGCACTGCCCTACCCTAATGCTGAATATGGCCGGCCCTTTCTTCATTATAATCCTACCACAACAATTCACTTTACCCTTGGACTTTGCTAGTTCTACAGCTGGGCTTAATCTCAGAGCTTTTTCTTGCAAATGCATGACTTTATAATGTCCGGGAATATTTTTGTTTTTTTCTCTGAATATTACCCCTCCTCCAGCAATTGTAAAAAACAACAACAAAGAAACTCCAGCTGTCTCATGGGGATTAACTCCAAAATGAACCATCCCACACCAGTAAGTTCATAAATATGATTTAATAGTTAATGATTATTAAGTAAAAAGTGCAGCAGTTTGATTATCATTCCCCTGTGGATCTTTAAATTCCATCTTATCTGCTCATCAGAGAGCTGTTTGACATTTGGTACACTTCCTGTTACACTTCAAATTAATATTCACCTGTAAATGCATTATTCACACTGTATTAGTCAAACTTTTTCTTTGGAAATCACCGGTCTCCTGGTTAAACAAATATTTAGTTAGGGATGTGGGGTAAGTACTGTTGTGAGGCAGGCACTCGACACTCATTCCTGGGAAGTCTCCTGATAATATAGCAGTACACCTTCTATGAATAATATCAGTCAAACCAATTAAATACCAAGCGTGTGTTACCCAGAGAGGCATTTAGTCAGTGCATGGCAGGTCAGCAAGAATGTACAAATGTATTTACAGCAAGGCTGGATAACCAACCGGGCACAGTGGCCATCTGTCCACTGATCCGCCTGGGGGCCAAATTACTGAGCACTACAAACACAATGCATAGAAAGTGGGAGAGAGGTCAAGTGGGGTCCACAGCCCGTTTGCCCTGGGCCCCCCCCCTCGTGGGTTAATCCAGCACTTGTTTACATTTACTTGGGCTAACTAAACCTATTCTAATAACTGTTACAGAAATGTGTCACTATTTATGCAATAGTTGGTACAGATTTACATCATTCGTTCCAGGAAGCTTTCGAGAAGTTGAAATTATTAGGATTATGATGCACTACAAATTTAAAGTAAAACCTTCTAAAGACTAGGCTGTTAGCTCAGCTGTCAGACTGAGGGTATGGCAGAAGGTTCAGGAAAAAAAGGCTGGACCTTGGGGTAAGGCTTAAATTTTTTTTGTCAAACTCCAAAGTTAAGAATAAACTTTCGTACTCAACACTATGTCCCCGTGGTTGCTGTCTGCCATCGTTAGTCATTTCTTGTGGAGACATTGTAGGTCAGGTGATAAAGAACAGCAGACATTAACAAATCCATGGAGTCAAGAAAGCCAGAAAAGTCATCACATGATCTATAAGATCACTTTCCTCTGCATTACTGTTAAATACAAGCCAAATAAATTAACATCAGCCATAAAACAGTTCATTCAAACTGTCACCGGGTTGGTCAACTCCTCTTATAGCCTATTACACAGTAGCTTAAATAGCAGTAGTAGAAGTAACACTTTAGAATGAGGTTAGACAAATAAATTCATTATTAGTTCTTGAATGCCTGTAAAAAGAATATGGCTGTTTATTTCCTAGTCTCCCCACTGCTGGCTACCCTTCTAACCAGTTCCACCAGCGGGCTAACACCATGATAAAAGTCACATCTTTATCTTTAGATGAGATTCATCCATTTGTTCCCTGACAGTGTTTATTTGTGCAGCCCTATAATGTAAAGTGTTACCGCTTTATGGCTATACAGGCTCTCCCACACACCCCATGCTAAAACACATCAGTTTTCATACAGTGGAGCATGCAGCACATCACAACGTCACTGATGCTGCACCACCCTCGGCCTGTCCCGCTGGGTCACAGGCAGACCCGGCGGTTTGAGGGAGGAGGGGATGGGCAGCTCGTGCAGGCTGTCCGGGAAGGTCGCAGGGCTCAGCTGCTTCAGGATAGTCTGCATAGCGATGAGGACCAGCGGGGCCGGGCTTCTTCCTGACAGGTACTTGTAGGTCTCCTCGCCCAGCACCTCGCTCCAGCGCTCCGGCTCTCTGTCCAGAGCTCCTTTCATTTTAAAGTGAACCTTTGGCATGAACATGAGCAGGGTGTCCAGACACCGCCTCCTCTCCCCGCCCTTCACCTCCTTGGGGTCCCTGAGTTTCTCCAGAATGACATCCAGCGGGGTCGCGCCGTTGTGGTCCTGGCAGTGCGGGGACACTCCGCTCCCCAGCAGCATGATAACCGCCTCGGGCCGCAGCAGCTCGCAGGCCAGATGTAAAGGGGTCCTGCCGTCCTCCACGTGAAGACCTGCGGCTCGGTCCGTGTAAGAGGGCGCGCTGGGTACCCGACGAGCCTCCTGTAAGATGAGGCCGAGAATGTAGCGCCTGTCGTAGCGGACAGCCATGGCCAGGTGCGGGGACGAGGACGGGCAGCAGCAGAAGCGCTCCCCGGGCTTTGCTAGCGCTTGGTCGGTGTACCGGCTGAGCAGGTACTGGGCGTACGCCTGGTGGTCGTGAACTATAGCATAGAGCAACGCCTCCGACGGGGTGTAAATCCTCTGGCTGGCGTCCTCCTCCTGGTAAAAAGTCTCCATCGTCCGCATGTCCTCAAGCATCCAGACCGGCTTCAGGTCCCGCACAGCCCGGTAGAAGAGCAGCGAGAAGGACGTCCGGTGCTTCTCGCTGCTCCGAGCCGCCGAGCTGACGGTTAGTAAAGAGGCCATGGCGACAAGCGAACCCAGTAACCTCTGTCCTCAACGAGTTATAACAGTTACAGCGTCCTTCATCGCGCCGGAGCCGAAGAGTTGCGGACAGAACACCCAAACATCACGTTTACTTCCACAACAGTGAGTGAAGACGACAGGGCGCCACCTGCAAAGCCAGTTAGAGACGTTCCTCCTGAACAGCTGCTGGAGTCCTCTCTGCAGGACCGAGCTGGTACGCATGCGCACTATGTATTCATGGCGAGTAAAAAATAACTTTATTGACAACCAGTGTGAAACATTTCCTGACCTGGAGAGAATTAATCATGTAAAAATTTCAAATTTTAACTGTATATGTTAGCATATTTTAATATAGGCCTACATTTACTAATATGTTGCGTTTGTAGCAGGAAGGAACTACAAATTTCATTTCGTTATGCAGCCTTATGCTGTATAATGACAAGGTTATTTACAATGAATATAAACAACCTTGTAAATAATTCATGGGTTTATTTGTTTGTTTTTTATATTTCACATTAGATACTTGATTTTTTTTCTTTGACGCTGATTTTTTTGTTTTTTAATATATTGTTGTTTCTTTATTGATCCTAAACATAAAATGACTTCTACTACTGACCTATGGCGTGCGCGCACATACATTAAATGAATTCTTTTGTCTTATTTTTTAAGCTTTGGCAGTATTGTTCTTTGATTTTTATTTTATTTATGCCAATAAAGCAAAATTGAATTGCACTGTATTATAATTAGGGCAGGGATGTGGTCCCTGTCAGAGAGGAGCGTATATTTGGATATCAACTGCTGTGCATTCTGAGACACTGGTGTTGTTATTATTCAACTGCATGTTCAGAACTACTCCAGAATGTTTTGGGTTTGAATAAAAAAAAATATATATATAGACATCTGAAAGTGACCCTCATTCACCAGCAGCCTGTTGCACCAGCAATACTTAAGTTCTACCTAAAGTTAGGGTGCAAAGTCCACACTAAACAATACGTTGAAACTAGTTAGTTTGAGACTTCAGTTGTGGTGATGTTTGGTTGCACCACCGAGACGTAAGGTTCATCTTAGCTACTCTGGCGTCAAGTCCATACTAATCAAAACAGTGTCGCAGAAAATGACGTTCACGCATCTCATGGCCAATCAGCGAACAGCACTATTCTTAACAGAGTTTATTACGGGTTTTGTCATCTGTTTGTCTCTCTCTCTTTCAACGTTTGCAATACTGAAGAGGCTAACGGCTAAAAAAATAGCAACAAACCAACAAAAAGGGAGCTATACAAGGAAATAATTATGATTAGGTGATAACTATGAAACCTTAATCTACAGCTAGTCTCACAGTGACATCCAGTGGTAAAACCGTTAACTACAACATAGACGTAATTTAACGGTTCTCCAGCGATTTCGGAGTTGGCTAGGTGAGAGGTTTACTATGAGTGGCTGTCAATCAATCAGTCACTCCACATCAGACATAATTAAACGGTTGAAACGCGGACAAAAATCGTGTAAGTTAGGCCTATAGAAAACATCCGACACAACGCAAAGGTGATGCTGAAAAGTTAAGGGACAAAAAATACGAGTTTGCTGAAGGCAGCTCAGTGCCTCAATATTACAGACTTTTATTCTGTGCTGCAGTTATTACAGCCTACCTGAAGACGGCAGTGAGGGCGCCTGCAGCAGGGCGGGTAGTAAGTTGTTACAAGTAACGCAAATTTACAAAAATAAATAAATAAAAATAAGTGATGGCCTTTTAACGTTCCTTTATTATTTATATTTTTACTCTTTAATCCAATATTTTCTTTGTGCCAGTAATCTACTCTTAATTTCGCAACATTTTCAAATCATACCTTCATAACTTAACCAGTCTGTGATCTGCATTTTGCTTCATTAACCGATTAACCGAAGATTTAAGTTGTAACTTGTGTCTTCGTTGGACGTTCAGCTGGTGCAACCCTTAAAACGTTATAGCACGTAAACTCCGACTTAAATTAGAAATTACGTTCAAACTAGGCTAAGTTTGGTGCAACCCAGTGCAATAGAGTATAAAAGACTGCGAGCCAAAGCACGCAGAGTGATTAAGACTACAAAAAAAGAATGCAGGAGAAGATACTGTGGAAAATTAGGGGCAGAGACAGCAGTAGCAGATATATGGCGGGCAGTACATCGTATGTCAGGAAGCAATAGGAAAAAGAAAATGCCAGTTTTAGAGGAGGAGGGCTTGTTTTCTAGATAAAGCAATCTGGATAAAGCAAAACTATGTGACTTCGCTGTGAACTTTAGAGCAGTTCACAGCGGAGCTAACATTGGTGAAGCAGGTATAAGGAAAAGAAATGAGATATTAGAACAAAATCAGGACGAACTTGAGGTAAATCACGATAATTCTGATGTTTGTAACTTACTCTTTTCTAGAAGAATTACACAGGTCAATTGGAAAAGGGAGGAAAACAGCTCCAGGGAAGGGTGGTATTAGCTATGAGATCCTTAAGAATCTAAGTGATCTGGTTTTGGAGGAAATCTTGTCCTTAATAAATTACACATGGCAGGAAGGAAAGCTACCTGGCTCATGGAAGCATGCACTGGTGGTCCCAATATTAAAGCCAGGGAAAGATGCTTCAAAGGCAGGATCATACAGGCCCATTGCACTGACATCAGTCCTCTGTAAAATAATGGAAAGGATGGTCACAGACAGATTGGTTTATAAATTAGAGAAGAAGGTATGGTTTACACTAGTACAAAGGGGCTTCCGTAGAGGGAGAAGTAACACGGATGCTGTAATTTTCTTTGATAATGATATTAAGAAAGCAATGGTGAATAAAGAAGTATTAATGGCAGTTTTACTTGATATTGAAAAGGCGTATGACATGCTGCGGAAGGAGGGGCTTGTCCCAAAACTTTATGAGGCTGGAGTCAGAGGCCAGATGCTTAACTGGATACAAGATTTCTTGAAGGACAGGAGCATTCAAGTTAGGGTTGCAAATGCATTTTCAGATGGCACAGGTATTGATAATGGAACACCTCAGAGAAGTGTAATAAGTCTAGTCCTTTTAAACATTATGATAAGTGATATATTTGAAGGAATTGGGATGATGGGATCATCTGGAAAAGGGGCAGGAATATCAAACAAATGACGGGGCGAATGCAGGTAGCACTGAACAAGGTAACTAGTTGGGGTGAAAAGTGGGGATTTAAGATCTCAAATTCTTGGGTGTGCACTTGGAGAAAGCAAATAAATAATGTAGTAAACAAGTGTGAAAAAGTGATAAATGTAATGCGTTCCCTCTCAGGTGCAGGCAGAGACACTCAACTAATGATCTACAGGGCAATGGTAAGGTCTAGACTAGATTATGGTTGTGTATGTCATGGGACAGCAGCTGAAACACATTTAAAAAGGCTGGAAGTAATACAGGCTAAGACTGAGACTATGTTGTGGGGCCCTTCGTACAACTCCAGTCCCGGCTTTACTGGTAGAGGTGGGGGAAATGCCGCTATCAATTCGACGGGAGAAATTGGCAATGCAGTATATTGTTAAGCAATGGGCAAATAAAGGAGAACACCCAACAAAAATAGTACTTCTTAATGTATGGGAGTGGGAGTCAGGGAAAAGGAGGAAGGAATGTTTTATATTTAACATCAGTAAAAAGGTGGAGGAACTGAGGGAGGTAGGGGTGGCCCCACAAGTTCACTGGTCAGTTGTACCACTATGGATGCTGCCCACTTTGGGTGCCTGCACATGTTGGGGTGGAAGGGATTGAGGTGGCAGACAGGGCAGCAAAAATGGCTTTGAAAAGAGACATCGAGCTAGCAGTTTGTGTTGGGGTTTCTGAATGTCGGACTGTCATTAAGGAACACATTACAGCAGTGCGGAAGAGGGAGTGGAAAAATGAAACAAGAGGTCGTCACTACTATTCAATGCAAAAAAAAGTAGACAGAGCAGTGCTACTTGGGAAAAAACAGAATACATTCTGTAATCAAGACAAGACTGAGACTGGGAACTTGCATGGGATCTGGCAAAGATGGGCAAACATGAGGATGGACTCTGTAGAACCTGCAATCAACAACAGACTGTTAAACGTGTTTATGGAATGTCAACAGTACAAAAGGCAAAGAGATCAACTTTACTCTGCGACATCAGGAGCTGGAATACAGACAGTGACATGGAGAGACATTTTGTATCCTCCTGAGAACCAATCGAGGATAGTGGAAGCAGTCATGGACTTTATATCTGCAACAGGATTACCCCTCTGAGAATGGTGATGCCATGAAACGATACTGAGAATGAACTGTGAGAGGCAGCAATATGCCGCAAGGCATCTAGTCTGCCGGAAAGCCAGAAGAAGAAGAAGAAGAAGATCCTCATTCGCCTGCTTTAAATTACTATGACCGTAAGGAAGGGAAAAAAATGAGCATGAAATATAATTACTTAATTATTATGGCCAGACAATATATTTACACATAGTTATTGATATTAAATCTGTATATTCAATTTTATAAAACGAGATACTTAATTTTAAGGAAGGTGCGTACAATGTCAAAAAGCACAGAATATTCATATAATATGAAACTGATCATCTTTGATCACAGCCTTCAGTTTGATCACTACTACACACCTCTAAAACAAGACTCCATCTTCCACGGCCGTGAAGCTCTATTGTGTTGACAGACAGACAGACAGACATGACACTTGGCAAAGCACTAACTAAGGCAGTTGAGTTTTAATATCAACAAGCTTTCTGCAGCAACAGTGGGAACATGGTGAGTTACTCAACATGATGCACTTCTAATAGCAGAACACACAAAGCTGTTGTAAGACCCAATTAACAAGACTTACTTACTAAACTGTCAAAGAAAGTCACACCTACACCCTGGGACAGATTGTGAGGGGATGGGCCCCTGAGCACAGACAGATAAAAAGGGCCCACACCCCCCTTGACTACTTCCCCTCCCTCTCTATCAGTTACATTCTCCAGCTGCAAAGTTCTCATGTTGGTTGAAAACTGCACCTGGACTTCAGTATGTTTTCCATTCAGGAACTGAACAGAGGTTGTCTAACTCCCTCCCAAAGCTTCCTCCACAAGCAGATCCACTTTGAAACTGGCCATTAATAAAAACCTGTGGAGCAGGTCCTATTTTGTTAAAGCAGTCAAATACACAAACAACTGATCAGGACATACAGTATATAGGCCATACTTGATGGAGCACTTTGGCTTTTGGGATCCGTTTGGACTAGGGGTGCACAATAT